TTTTACAACTTCCTGTAGTATTTTTTTTTTCAGTTAGTGCTCCTCATCCAGATTGAATAAGAAAGGGGAAAACTCGTTCCTGTATTCCTAGTGAAACATGGACATTTCTTCAGCCAAAACTGAAATAGGGTATTTGAGGGTAGAATGAAATACTTTCCTTATTAGTGTAGTGTTTTGTTATTTCAAAGGAGATAATCAGGAACCCACTCTTTGATAAGTTTCTAATATTACTTGCTTGTTAGAACAACAGTCAATTTATTCTTACACTGAGATCAAGCAACTGTTAAATGTGCTAAGCCTCAATTTTGCATGGATGGGATGTCTGTTATCCAGTGGTCTTTCCCTTTGACATGTTAACTTCTATTTTGACATATGTACTTTTCTGCTAATGCACACAAGCCCTGACAGCACAACAATTGTCTCATATTAATCATTACCATAGTCTGAAGCCTGCTTGCTGTCTAAGTTTACAAGTATCGCAAGTGACGCATATTCCATCAACAAGAAAATGATAAACTTGATTCCCAGTCTACCACTGAGATAACCACCCTGAGATAAATATCCTGCAACAGAAATACAATAGTAAAGATATTTTTAAAAAAATCCAGTCAAGGCAGAGAAAGAACATTCAGTTTGGCATTTCTAATTGGAAATAGAATGATGTATTATTGGACTACAAGTGAAACTCGAAAAATTAGTATATCGTGCAAAAGTTCATTTATTTCAGTAATGCAACTTAAAAGGTGAACCTAATATATCAGATAGACTCATTGCATGCAAAGCAAGATAGTTCAAGCCCTGATGTGTCATAATTGAGATGATTATGGCTTACAGCACATGAAAACCCCAAATCCACAATCTCAGAAAATTAGAATATTGTGAAAAGGTTCAATATTCTAGGCTCAAAGTGTCCCACTCTAATCAGCTAATTAAGCCATAACACCTGCAAAGGGTTCCTCAGCCTTTAAATGGCTCTCAGTCTGGTTCAGTAGGAAGCACAATTATGGGAATGACTGCTGACCTAACAGTTGTGCAGAAAACCATCACTGACACCCTCCATAAGGAGGGAAAGCCTCAAAGGGTAATTGCAAAAGAAGTTGGATGTTCCCAAAGTGCTGTATCAAAGCACATTAATAAAAAGTTATGTGGAAGGGAAAAGTGTGGAAGAAAAAGGTGCACAAGCAGCAGGGATGACCGCAGCCTGGAGAGGATTGTCAGGAAAAGGCCATTCAAAAGTGTTGGGGACTTTCACAAGGAGTGAAATGAGGCTGGAGTCAGTGCATCAAGAGCCACCATACACAGACAGATCCTAGACATGGGCTTCAAATGTCGTATTCCTCTTGTCAAGCCGCTCCTGAACAACAAACAACATCAGAAGCGTCTTACCTGGGCTAAAGAAAAACAGGTCTGTTACTCAGTGGTCCAAAGTCCTCTTTTCTGATGAGAACAACTTTTGCATCTCATTTGGAAACCAAGGACCCAGAGTCTGGAGGAAGAATGGAGAGGCACACACTGCAAGATGCTTGAAGTACAGTGTGAAGTTTCCAGTCTGTGTTGATTTGGGGAGCTATGTCATCTGCTGGTGTTGGTCCACTGTGCTTCATTAAGTCCAGGATCAACGCAGCCGTCTACCAGATTTTGGAGCACTTCATGCTTCCTTCCGCAGACAAGCTTTATGGGGATGCTGACTTCATTTTCCAGCAGGACTTGGCACCTGCCCACACTGCCAAAAGCACCAAAACCTGGTTCAATGACCATGGGATTACTGTGCTTGATTGGCCAGCAAACTCGCCTGACCTGAACCCCATAGAGAATCTATGGGGCATTGCCAAGAGAAAGATGAGAGACATGAGACCAAACAATGCGGAAGAGCTGAAGGCCGCTATTGCAGCATCCTGGTCTTCCATAACACCTCAGCAGTGCCACAGGCTGATAGCTTCAATGCCACACGGTAATTGCTGCAAAAGGGGTCCAAACCAAGTACTGAGTACATATGGATGTTTATACTTTTCAGAGGTCCGATATTGTTCTATGTACAATTCTTGTTTTATTGATTGCATGAAATATTCTAATTTCTGAGATTGTGGATTTGGGGTTTTCATGAGCTGTAAGCCATAATCATCTCAATTATGACAATTGTGACTTGAACTATCTTGCTTTGCATGTCATGAGTCTATCTCATATATTAGTTTCACCTTTTATGTTGCATTACTGAAATAAATGATATTCTAATTTTTCAAATTTCACCTGTATTAATATTATTATCTAGCATATTGAGAGCAAAGAAATCAAAGATGATTCTGTCTCTGATTTAATGCCACTAGATAACTCTTTCTCCGAAAGTCTGGAAAAAGATACATTGCATTTGATGGGATTGTGATTTTATATCGATTAAAGTCATCATATCAAAATGCGTTAAGTACCAAATTTTATGAGTTTCAATGCAGTTGAGTACCAAGGTACCACTGTATCTGTACATGGAACGTAGAAATCCATGTAGATTTACTAATTTAACTGTTGTGGTGGAAAAGGATGCCAGAGGACAATGTTATAGTTCTAACCCAAAACTGTTATTAGCAATTCTTTGCCAAATGAAACTATTTTAGAGCAACAATTTTCTTCGAGACTTGGGATTGCTGACACTTTAGTGCCATCTTTTGGACTGTCCAAGTAACAGCAATTTAATTTGCTTTAAAGAATAAAGAATTAAGAATAGTCAAATCTCAGCTATTTTTAAAATTATTATAGGATTTGTAATATGGACTGTATGTTGTCTTAATCCCACTAATACATATGATCCTGAGTACCCTAAAAGCAAACTGCTTTCTCTCCAATTCTCTTAAAGTATTTAACTGTATTATTATACATTATTAAAATGTTCCTACATTAAAAAAGCAATTAAAATAACAATGAAGGACAAAGTGGAAGTATAGCACTTCTATAGCAAAAGTGTAATATTATTATGATTCATAACACATCCGGGAATTTTTATTTTAAAATGTGTCTCTCATCGCAAATATTTAGATATAATGCACAGATCATATTCAGAATTCCTTGCCAAGCTAATCTTGATGCAAATAAGGGACACCAAATTTGAACTCGTTTTTAAAAAAATACTTGAATGAGATCACTTCCTAAAACAAAAACAAAATGCCTTATTCTCCTTCATTTCTCCAGATCCAATCCCCTTCTCTTGTGTTTTCTTTAGAATACTTTATTATGACCAGTATAAAAAATACAATAAAAAGTAATAAAGCATCAAATTGCACATTTTAAATTTGTCATAATATGAAAATTATACAGAATCTATACAGCCTAAACAACTAAACCTATAAACCCTATTATCTATGAAACTTGTCTACTTTATTTAATTTACGGTTGTTAAGTACGCTTAAAAATATGAAGGCAGTGTTTAATTTTGTAGTATACAATATTAAAAGAAAAAATATAATGTATATTTTCTCTTTCTAAACTGCCTGCTGCTTATTATCCCTAAAGCACTTGATCTCAGAATCACACTTGTGCTGAATATTATGGCCTGTGTCTTTTAGTAATAAACAGGTAAAATCAATGTCCAGTCTTTAAACCATTCAATACGAAGGAATATTGTATAGCAGGGGTGGGCAATTAATTTTCCCAAGGGGCCATGTGAGAAACTGGGACTGTTGTGGAAGGCGGCTGCCATCACCCCCTTGCTGCCCTCATGGGCTGGACAGGGACAGAGGGCCCAATGTGGCCCACGGACCATAAAATGCTAAGGTCCGTTGTGTATTATCTGCTTCAGAAAAGGAGGAGCTTAAAAAAATACAAGTCACTGAGTCTATTTTTCCTTTTCTGTGTTGGTAGATTCTAAAGAATCTTATTGGTGTTGAATGTGTGCTCTTACAAGGACTCATCTATCTGTATCTATAAAAATAATGTAGGCCAGTCCAATTACATCAAAGTACAGTAAATTTCTGGGGTTTGAGCCAGTCCCTTCTGAGGTTCCATATAGTTCCATAAAGTTTCTTTAACCATTCCAGCTTACTTAAGTGTTCAGATCAGAACCCATAGGTAGTAAACTTGTACTCACAGATTAACTGCCAATTGTCGTTGTATTTCTCCAGTGACTAGTAATTCATTGGGATTTAAGGTAACTCTGATTCAAGTTATTAGTTTTCTGGACCAGGATTGGGTTTCAATGCTTGGCAAGTCTGGCCTCAAGGCTGCGTTAGATACACACCAATTATAGCCTTAAGGAAAACTGATTGGATCAGTTTGCAGGTTGTAAAATGTAAAGATGGATCTAATTTAATTCCTTGCCAGAATGAATTTCCCTGCTTTCCATAAAATCTTCACTACAATGCTTCTCTGTAACCTCAATGTGGCATCGGTAATTTGAGCATTTATTTTCCTTTTGCTTTGGAAGACAGATACTTACATGGCTTAACTTGTTCAATTATATGATTAACTGATCATTTGTCCCTTCAACTTTTTTTTTGAAAAAAAAAATCAAAATGTTGGGGTTTTTTCACAACATGCAATTGTTTACTTATCAAATGTTCACTTACTCCAAACTCCCCACTTTAGATTGAATTAAATAATACTTGAAAATCAACATGGATTTGGATTAGGCTGCTCTACAGAACTGATTTTTAAGCTTTCCTATCTCTTTCAAAGATGCATTTTGAGTGATAATTTTTGCTAAATATTAAAACTCGTTTGTAATTTGTGCTTATTCTCAATGAACCGTCTTTCGCTAACATTTAAAAATGTTTTTTCCTAAAATGTACTTATATAATAGCCATGAAAGGAGAATGTATTTCTGTGAGCTTTATTACCTTTTTCAGTAAACTTTTAAGCACCCACCTTTAATAACACACCAGAGAATTTAGACAAACATATAAATAAGAATGTATGTAATTAAATACATGAAACAAAAATGTAATTTAAAGAAAAGACGGGTTTCTCAAAAAAACTGACCATGAAGCAAAAATAATTAGTACAAAAACATCCAATACTATTTCTATTCCTATTTAATTATCGTCTGCCTCGAGATTTATATTGTTGCCAAACTTTGCATAAAGCTGGACTTTAAGATCTGATAATACTTTTTGGATGGATTCCACTTGTGCTTCCAAAGTTCCAATTTCTTCCTGTAAGTTTTTCTGACAAAGAAAAGAAATGGAAAAATGTTAAGCAAAGATTTCAAGGAAACATTTTTCCTTCCAAACATTCATCTATTACAGCAAAATCAATGAAGTTTCTGTGTCACCTTAAAGATAAGCGTATTTGTTAACAACTAAAACAACTTTTTTTCCTTTATTGATTAGACTTCTGATTTAGAAGATCATGAGTTATAGACAGTTCTTAAAAATATGAATCCATCAGACCACCTTATTTGCATACTTAAAATGTTTCACCCAATTTGAAGTTTTTATATATATTATTATTATTATCCATGGGTGTTTTAATGTTACTGAATGCTTAATCTGAACAATACTGTGCATTAATTATTATGTGGTCCAGTAAACAACAATTAGAATGGAATATGGAGCCATTCATAAGTTCAAAACCAGAAAAGCAGTTAAATAAACTGCATCAAAGTTAAATATTAACCTTCAATGTATATGCTGGACTTATTATGAGACTGAAACAAACAGAAGATGGTGTTAACATTGCCAGGAAAACAAAACATACAGATATACTAATGATATTATTTTAGTGGCTGGAAAGAATAAAGCTTTCATGACTCTTTTGTTGAAGTTGAAAAATGAGAGTGCAAAAACCAATATTATGTTCAATATCAGAGAACATCACATTGATGACAAAGATACGCATTGCCAAAACATAGTTTTTATATCTGTGAAAGTTGGCAATCAGAAAGACTGAACAAAACAACAACAAATCAATGTTTTTGAACTGTGATGCTGAGAAATTGTTGAGAGCAAGAAAAAACAAGTGATTCATTGATAGATACAATAGAGGAAAGAAGACTACCTGGAAAAGTATTTGTCAGTTTCTTCCCCCCCACCCCCCAAATCTTTCCTTGATTCAATATCTTAAAAGAGCCACAGAAGTAGCACAAGGAACAGAACATACCTTTGCCTCCTCCAACATCTCTTCTGTTTCAACTTGTGGGTGACTAATGAAGACATCTCCAATTTGATATGGTATCAATAATGAATCATCATCAAGCACTAGAATGTCATCACAAGCATCTTGCAGGTTCTGGAGTTGTTTCTGTGTTTAAGAAATCAAGTTATTTTCCCACCAATTTAACCATCATCGTGATATGGATTGTAATTCAACTTAGGATAAACCATTATATGTTTCGTGCACACACACTCACACACATGTATTTATGTATGTAATTCTAAACTAGGTGTAATTATCTAAGGAACAGCTTTAGGACAAAATTCAAAAGAGTAGAACCAGCTACCCTACCAGCTATCTCTCAACACTGAAAGGGATAAATTTAAATGATTAAAATACAGTGATAGGTTTTAATGGCAAATGGACTGTCAATATGATTCTACAAAGTGACTTGATTTAAACTGATTTTGAAACACCCAGTCTAGTGATTCAATTTGGTGACTTGATTGGTTTTAATTTCCACAGTCATAACAGATTTGACAAAGTACTTACTTATATTTAAAATGCTCTCTTAACTATATGGCTGCGTCAGAGGTGGTAGCCAGCCACTTTGGATCAGTTCTGGCATACCAGTAGCGGAAATTTCGAGTAGTTCGGAGAACCAGTAAATACCACCTCTGGCTGGCCCTGCCCACCTGCCCCCACCATTACTTCTCCTATATTCCGTTTTTTAGATAAGCTGATTCGCGCAGCAGAGAGGATTGCCACACCTCAGCTGACTAAAAAACAGCACAGCTCATCAGCATTGATACAGAGGGTGGTCTTTGAGTCCTGCGCGCATGCACAAAGTGCTCTCTCAGAACAGGTAGGAAGAAATTTGGAAACTCACCACTGGGTTGTGTGGTTACTATCCATGTTCAGAGAAATGTAGAATACGACAGAATACTGAAAAAGTCTCTCTTTTGCAGGGGAAAAGTAAAGTATGGTTCAGTTTAATTTTGTGGGAAAAATGAGTTGCTATCCTGAGATAATTAATAACATTTGTACACCATTCAACTCCCAGCAATTCTGAAAACCTTTGTGGCCAATTTGAGGCCACATCAAACTTTACCTTACACCATTAACCAAAAGGAGAAATATATGCCAATAATAACATGGTAGAAGAAATATTTCTGCAGCAAATTTCTTCCTGCTCTGCTAAATCAATGAGAGAAATCTGAGCTTTTAATATTTGTACCATTGCCAGTTCTCCTGAATACCACTGCCATACAAATTAACCAAAGGCTTTGGATGGTAGCGCACACATTTTTGCCAATTAACCTTACAGAAAAAAAGTATTTATTTGATTTGATTTGGGAATTGTCTGATTTTGGTTACCTTCTTATCGTCTATTTCTTCTTTTAGTTCTGTAATTCTACTGGTGTTTCTAGCAAACTTGTTGATTTTCTGCTGATCTTCAAAAGTAACGTTAACGTCTTCTGCTGCCTAAACAAAAAACAAGAGCTCCTCAAATATATTGGATGTGAATAATAATCTGTTTTTTTCAGTTAAACTAAGTTATATATACACACCATTATTTCAGCTTGTCAGAGAATAATCAGGTTATGTTCTAAAACAGGAAGTGATTACATATTTAATACAGACAAGATGTTGACAGAACGAAAGCATAACTTTGACAGACAAGGAATACAGGGAGAGTATAAGTAAAAATCCTTAGGATATTTGCATACACAATTGTAACCATAGGAAACACCTGAGATCATAAACAAATAAGTCATAGTGGCCTGATTTACATATAACATTAAGCTAGGGCATGTTTAGCTGGCCAAAATAGCTAAGTCTGCATATAATGCTAAGTACAACAGATGTCTCAGATGACTGTACAGTAAAAGGCAAGCAAACCTCTTTATGGATTAATGTTATCATGCTACAGTTTAACTACATCAATACCTTAAACTGGTATGGCATGAGGATAGATGGACAGACTAATGTATAAATAGGAGAACTATATGTCCATAAAAATAGAAAATACCTAACAAATCAACAGAAAAATAATCACACTTCCTTATTCTCACAACATATGGACAGACTCAAATCATATTTTCAAGGGGAAAACAGTGGACATTTTGGATCAAACTAAAACCAAAATATTAAGGAATTCCTGGAAGTTTGGCAGACCAATCAGCCATCAATAGACACATAGAAATAAAACATATTTACATGTCTGTCAAAAGAGACAACAAAAAGCGAAGAAGGGAACAAAAAAAGACCAGAACATATCAGTTTCAATAGCAGTATTCAGATAAGCAGGCATTAACACCAGACAAACAATCAAGTAGAAAACAATATCCTAATCAAGGAACTCCCAAGGAGAAAACCATACACACCCCAACACTGGAAGAACAAGCTATCCCCTTTACGATCACTGATAATGTTACCTAGGCAGGTAATGAAATGCCCACAAGCAAGCGAGCAACCAAACTCAGAAAGAGCCCCAAGAATTCCACAGAATATTCTACTATCCAGAAAAATAAAGCAAACAAATAAAAAGGGAAGATGAACAGAATAAAGATGGAAGAATGGATTGGTTTTCTCCCCCCAATTAATTTGGAGCAAAGAAAAATAATCCCAAGATTAACATCAATCTAATGCAGTCTAATTAGATCATCTAATGCATACTTCTTCAACCTCATGCTCTTTTGAACTACAAATATTGCTTTATATACTACACTACCTGGATGGTTAAAAAAAATAATGCATTGGTTGCCATTTGCTTATTGCTCAGCAGTTTGACTGAAACTGGCCTTCATTACTGACTGAAAAGTTTTATAAAATTATTAGTTTTACTGAAACTTTTCCAATAAAACTAAGCAAATAACTAAAAGATTAGTGGGGGGATACATGAAAACTTATATTCTCCATTTATGCTTTTGATTTTAAAGCATAACTTAGCCGCCCACCTAGGAAAAAGGATTTAGGAGCAACCCAACTCTAAATAAGTTTCTGCATACTTAGTTAATGAGCTTATTCAAATTAGATGAGAAATGAAACCACCCTGGAGGACATACATATTGGATTCCCCTAATGAAACTGCTCAGTCTGAAGAAACTAATTGGATAAGCAGTGAAACTTTTCAAAGCAAAAGAAAATAAGTCCAGTTGCCATGATTTAACTCCCAGACATTTTTACCTGGATGACTGAGAATCTTCTGCCCCTAAAGTCAAAGCTGAATGTTTCATTATTTTTATTATTTATAAAATAATAAAATAAAAATAATTTATTTACTTTGCAATTTTGTTGCAAAGTAAAAACACAACTTGCCTCAGGACAACCAAGTATCTGGGTTTGATCATATAGTTTTTTAAAAGTAACATTTTTGCACAACAATTGTAACTTCTTAAAACCGGATTAATAAAATACATCCAGCCAACACAGGGGCTATTTTGATGTTTAAATCCAAAGCAAGAAACACTAAATAGAAAATGCACAAAACAGTAATCCTTTCTAGGCATGAGGTTGACAAAAGGGTAAAGCTGAGGCTCTGTTGAAAAAGTGTTGGCCAATGAATTCATCCTTATAAGTTTGTGTTCATATCCTGGAAAGCTTTATGGGTAGGGAGTAACTGGTGATTGTTTTATTGTCAGTTGTTGTTGGGTGTTTTTTTTAAATCTTCCAATAGAAGAGAATATATGTAGTTCATGATTCAACTGCTGAAACCTTGGTTCTCTTTGAGCTTGGTTGTTTGCTTGGAAATGTTTCATTAGCTAGACAACCAAAACATCTGCAAGTAAATGAAGCTTAGAGAGAACTAAGGACTGTATTTTATCTTCCAGTCCTCTTTATAGTTATGACAATTCCTAGTCTCCCAACCAAATATTAACCAGATCTGTGGCATGGGAGCACGGTGAGTGCCCTGTTTATTTATTTTTTCATCCTGCCTTTATTATTTTATCAATTCAAGGTGATGTACCTATCAAATGTTCTAATTTTCTCCACAATAATCCTATGAGTTGGGTTGGGCTGAGAAAAACTGACTGGTCCCAAAGTCACCCAACTGGCTTTTATTCCAAAGGCAAAACTAGAACTCACAGCCTCCTAGTTTCCGGCCCAAGACCTGAACCAGTACCTCAGTGTGCTGCTTTTCGGTTCTGTGAGTCAAAACAGTGCACGTAAGCACCAAAGGGGCAAAGCTCGCACCCAGCTCCCCAATAGCACTGATCAGATTCCCCAATGCTTGACTTCCAAGCATCTGCCAAGTGCTGCTGCTTACTGAGGTGCACATGGGGAAGGAATGCCAGCAGATAATCAGAGTTGGAAGGGACCTTGTAGGACATCTAGTCCAAACCCCCCCCCTCCCCCTAAGCAGGAGACCCTACACTATTTTTGACAGATGGGAGTCCAATCTCTTCTTGAAAGTCTCAAGTGATGGCGCTCCCAACAACTTCCGAGGGCAATTGGTTGATTATTCTGTCCCAAGACCAGCCTTTGACATTGGAAGAAATGGAGCCTGCATGCATTCCCAAACTAAAGGTGGAAACAAAACCTCTTTTTTTCAGTTGAGCTGGACTCCTTGACATTTCCCTGATGAATTTATCTGCTGGGAACCAGGAAAGGGGTTTAACCGTGCCCTTTTGGGCGGGGGGGGAAACTTTTCCAACCTCCCAGGCTAGGATTTCCTCGTGGTCTCCACTCCCTGTTTGGGGGGGGGGAGCCTGGTTCAGCCAGCAGTCAGAATCACGTGACACTTCAGCGGCTGATGCCTTAAAAAAAAAAAAAACCTAGAGGGCCCTCAGCCTGAAGCTGTACGGCGCCCTCTGCAGGCAGCAAAGAGAGCTGTACACGTTTTACGCCGCCGAATGAGGCCCCGCCTCCACATGGCATCTCCTTCCAAACGCTGAAGGCGCCAGGTTGGGAATAGAGGCTGCTTTACCGGATGCCACGCTAATTTCAAGGCAAAAACAAATGGGGTTCCCATCCCCCTTCCCGGCCGCTTTAACGCGCCTCCATCTCAGACAGGTCACGCCGCTCACGGCCTCCGCCTGTCCAGGCCTAAGGCCTCCTCCTCCGGACGCTCTCCGGCCTCCTCCCGCTCCTCAGCTTCCACTGAGGAAAACGCCGGGGAAAACATCACGGAGGGGGAGGAGGGGGGGAAGGTAAGACAGTAGAACAGCCGCCACTCCGCCCCGAGTTCGCTTTCCTGCCCTCCCCAGCCCTCTCACCGCTTTCTTCATGGTGGCCGCCATGTTGTGGACTAAACCACCTGCTCCTTTCTCGACGGGGAGCTTTCCCATTTGGCCGTGGTTCGCCCGGTCGCTCTCTCCTATTTTCTCTACTGCTCTCCTGTTCATCCGAGTCGCGGTGAAAAGGAGCGGCTTCGACGTTCAGTTTGAGGAAAGCCGCAGCGCCGGCGTTCAGTTTGAGGAAAGACGCAACTGCAACTCCCCTCCCTTCAAGGATAGTTGGTATGGCCCAAAAGTGGGGAAATAGAGGAGGAGGACGGACAGCAGCGGGAGGTTGGAAAATTTTGGCAGGTTGTGATGCTGGCAAGAACCGGCAGAGGGCGCAACGTCCTTTTTAATGGTGGCTGGCAAAGGAGAAAGGAAAGAAAACTTGTATGTTGCAGGTTAGAATAAAGAGAAATTCTTTTTCTAGTCCAGTGTATAGTGCAATATTAATGCAAAAGCGGGTTTTCAGTTCAATTGTATAGAATGTGAAATATATCTGTGTTTTATTTTTATAATTATAATGTACACTAAAGATGGCATTTAAATTTCGTCGTATGAGGTGCAATGACAATAAACTAAACTAAGTGCACGGAGGACGTGAACACATCCCTGAGGCTTTATTTATTTACTTACCTACCTATTTGATTTTTAGTTCATTTTTATTACTTTATGAGTAAATCAAGATGATGAATATACATAAAACTCCTTCCTCCTTTCCCCCGCCCCCCCACAACAATAACCCTGTATGGCGTGTTAGGGTTGAAAGAGAGCGCCTTGAAATGATTTAATTTATTTTACCAATAAAAGAGAATATATGTAGCTCAGGGTTGAAACGATGCTCTCTGAACTTGGTGGCTTTCCTGCAGACATTTCATTACCCAACTAGGTAACCTCGTCAGTGCTAAGCGTGGGATTTGCTCCCAATTGAGGGAGCAGTTGAATGGGGTTTGCTTTCTCCACTCCTTACTAGCACTGATGGTGTTACCTAGTTTGAGTAATGAAACGTCTGCAACAGAGGTGGTATTCAGCAGGTTCTGAGCAGTTCTGGAGAACCGGTTGTGGAAATTTTGAGTAGTTTGGAGAACCAGAAAATTCCACTTCTGACTGGCCTGCCAGCCCCCATATATTCTCTGCCTCCCAAGTCCCAGCTGATTGACTGGGTCTTCTTTTGTTGCCCTGCACAGAAGAAATTAGTGGGGTAGGGAGGGAATGGGGATTTAGCAGTAACTTTCCCCTGCCATGCCCACCAAGCAACACCCACCAAGCCATGCCCACAGAACCGGTAGTAAAAAAATTGAATCCCACCACTAGTCTGCAAGCAAACAGCCAGATCAGAAAATACCAAGGACCCCTTAATTTATCTCTTTGTCTCCTTTCCTCCCCCCCCCCCCCCCCCCTCTCCCCTCCCCCCCACCTACCTACCTGCCTACCTCTCCCCTCTCTTGTTCTTTGAGATGGCATGGGGGAGAGTATTCTCATATTTTAGTTAGAACACCCCCCCCAGCCTTCGTATATTAGAAACAAAAGATTATTTCCTTTAACATCTAAGTGAAATTTGGCACTTGATAAAAATTGATTTATGAGTTGTTCATAAGAAAAAATCTCACAGTGTTCCCTTTTGAGAACATTAATGGGAAAAAAAAGCTATTTTGCAACATGTCCTTTTCACTGTTCTTTTTCATTTCTCCCCCTAAACTACAGACTTTAATCAAGGCAATGTGTAAGAATTATCTTTACATATGGGAGGGGGCTTTTCCAGTCATTAGGGTGCAGAGCCTTTGGGAATGGGTAATGCAGCAATAAAATAACACAGCTTCAAGCATCAAGATGGGTGCACAGATTTGTTTCCTGTGTCAGAGCGTAATGGAAATAATTTTAAAACTTCCTGGATTTGACGCCACTAATTTTGCAAAAAGGCTGGGGACACTATTTGTTTTATGGGATATCTCTATGACTCTTTTGTCCTTGGATAACATCTGAATCATAGGAGTCAACACCCAGTCAATTAGATGATATCCATGTGAATTGATAGAATAATCATAATATAAAGTCAAGTGGCAAGTTTTAGAAGGGTACCTTCCAAACATATAAGTAGACAAGTGGGATTTTAATAACTTTTCAGCACTTAATAACCTGTTAATTACCAGGGAAAACAAGGGTATAAATAAATAAATAGGTAAGGATATACTCTGTCTAAAAGTCTGCTAATCTTAGATTACTTCCTTCTGTTCTTCTTCCCAGGTACAAACACGTAGAAAGAATATTGTTTACTCTCCTCTGTAGAATGCCTATCCCTATAATATACATGCGCTTCCCATAAATGAATCTCCTTTCTCTTACCGTTATAAAACCTTCATCATTATTCATTTCTTGGGTCAGGTTTACTTCACTCAGAAACACACAGAATGCTTCAACCATCCACAATCTTCTTACTTAGGCCTTCAGAATCCTTAAGAGTTCTTAAACTTGTTTGGTCTGCGTATATTTTAATGAACTGAAACTGAGATTTGGACATTGGCATCCGTAGGGTCCTCAGGGAACAAAGGGTAAAATTAAATATAACAAGGCAATTTTTGCCTTATTTTGTACATGTGCTCTAACAGTGTACATTTATACTCCACAGGAGGAGTTTGCCTTGTAATTAAGAAGATTCTGATTCTATGGATGCCTCTTGAAGGTGAAAATACAATTCATTACTATTATGTTCCTAACATAGAAGTAAAGTTGAGGGACATAAATAATGAGTGTAACAATATAAACTAGCTAAAGCAGTAATTTCACACATGTGTGCACACACACAAAAAGCCTTTTGCCTTGTGGGATCCTAAGTTTGGTTGGTTGGACTTCCCAGAGTGACTGACCTTCTACTATTGTTGCCTTTTAAATATGAATAATAATCACAACAACAACAATAATAGAAGAATTCAAACACTATTTAAAGGCCTTCTGGCTGAAGTCATACAAACATGTTAATTGCTTTCCATCCCATGACCATACCCAATTTACTTTGGGCTCAGAAAGCTAAACAGGATGGGAGGTGGTTGGCCCTTAGAGGGAAGACCATCAAAAAATCCCAGGTCTGCACAGCTTTCATTAAATAAATTGAGAGGAGGGGAATCTCGGAAGACTGACATTGTCAATCTTTTATCTTTTCTATTTCCATCACTGCTTCTCAATGTAATTTCTTAAATAGCAACCTTTTAGTATGCTGGTACAAACCATGACAAAATCTAAAAGGAGGAAGAAAAGAAGCATGAATGTTTTATTCAAAAGTAATATTATTGTCCAGGAATAATACTTTACCTTGTTGCTAAAGCTGGAGCTGTTCAGGACAACTGGCTCCAATGAAGTAATGTGAAAGAAGTAATTAATTTTTAGCAAACATTGGCCTGCCATTTCTAGTTTGGTGGCATCTATGGAAATGCAAGGCAGTGACACGAAACAGGAGACAGAAGTCAGCTTCCTCCACATCTCTGTCATGTATGAATAAATTGCCAAGCCTGGATAATTACAGGGGAAAAATTAAACTGAAGAAGGGCCAAATATGTCTCCTTTGAGCTGAATATCTGAACGAGTATGAACAGTCATGGGTTCCATATAGGTTCCAGGAGAAGGTCTGCAAGGGAACAGCAAACAGCTGGGCGATTAAAGACGTAGGCCAAGCTGGAGTGTTTGTTGATGGCTTTTGGCCCAAGGATGATGAAACCTGTTATTACACAATAGCAGCAGATCGGTAGCAGCCAAAAGTATGAGCAGACTTCTATGCAAAGCTTGTAGATGACCTAAGGAACATAATCCTCATTTTTTTCAGAAACCTCTTGAGTGGCATGGTGGTTATACTGCAGATGGGTCAAGGGATTCAGAGGGCCAGACTAAACATGGCATCTATTGAATGAGTGCAATTATATTGCACATATATCTGTTCCGTATGAGTGTTATTATATAACAGAATTCAAGAGGAAATCCACATAGCTGTCTTTAAAGAGAATGAAGAACAATGTTAGGCTTTCTTCAGTAGTTTTGTAACAGCTGTAGGTATTGCCATTTTGCTTATAATTTAAGAAGGACCCTCTAGGCCCATGATGGCGAACCTATGGCATACATGCCAGAGGTGACACGCAGAGCCCTCTCCACGGGCACGTGAGCCATCGCCCCAGCTCAGCTCTGCCATGCATGTGCCCGTACCTCCTGTGGGCCAGCTAGTCTTTGGGTCTCTGTTTTGCATGCATGGTGGGGTGGAACGCAGGCAGGGGATGTGTGCACATGTGCAGGGGGCAGGAGGCATGTGTAGGAGACACACACATTTCATTTTGGGAAGGTTTGCGCGCACACACAGGTGCACTTTGGGTACTCGGTGCTGAAAAGGTTAGCCATCACTACTGTAGGCATTATTCCAGCAGGTGGCAACTTTTAACCAACTTTGTCTGACTTAAGAAGAATAAACTTAATTAATACTTGAACGGGACAGTTTGAGAAAATCCTATGATTATAGACTAGAACGGGATTTTTTTAAAAAATATATATATATTGCAAAGCTATATGATTGTATGGGTGGTGCAGTGACTCAACTGTCAAGACACTGCGCTTGTCAGCTGGAGAGGTGACAGCCTGGGTTTGAGACCCGACTGCCAGCCAACAGGGTGAGCTACCATCCTCGCCCCAGCTCCTATCAACCTAGCAGTTCGAAAGCATGCAAGTGTGATGACCTGGGGCATGGCACAAAGGCAACATAGTCAGATAATAAGAGTCCCATTATTATCTCCAACTTTGCCCCCAGTGTCCAGGATACCTTCTGGCTGGAGAAAAACTCTCCCGGGAACAGCCTTTGACTGCAGAAAATTAAGTCCGAAACAGGGTAAACACAAACTGTAACTTAAAGTCCAAACAAGCCAAACTGAAGTAATTAGTTCAGTAGGGCAGGAGCAAGAATTTCAGACTTGAAAGCACAGCAAAACTCACACAGTTGGGAAGATGCCAGGAACACAGATAAGCCAGGACAACACAAGATAAAGTCATGTTTGTTCCCAACAGCCTGCCACACGCAGCTTGCTTTTTTTTATAAACTGTGTTCCCAGCTGCAGTTAATAAAGG